GGCTTGGCCCGGCCCACAGGGTGGCTAAAATTGTTCGATCGGGTCTAGGTCAGGTTCGGGCTCATCACCTTCGGGCTCCGGTACAAGTAAGGTCCTTTTAGGCCCGGGTGTCACACATATCAGTATTATGACGTTTGTATTCTGTGGCTTTGTTGTTTGAACTTACTGTTAAACTTATTTTGTTGACTGAAAAGCTGACGGCTTCCGATATGAAGCTTTCTGAAGCAACAGAGTATGCCTGATCCACGTGAAATGACCCTTCATATCGGCGGTAGAAGAAGAGGCAGAGCCTTGAATCTGCGGCACACACCCACGCCGGGTGATTGGTCAAAAAACGGGTAGTTCTGACGAAATTCTGTAAATTTCTTTGCTCTCGTCTTCAAAACAAATGAGAATGATCAAGCAAAAAAACCAAATATGAGAAATTGATAGAGATAACGCATATAGAAAGTGAAGCCAATAATTACAGCAACAGCAATGAAGAACTGAGTAACTAAAGGAATTCGAAAATAAGTACTTTAGCAGTAAAGATATGTTCTACAGTCGGAATCTCTTTGAAGATTTATTAAACTCCTTCAAACCATTGACAACTTTCCAGTCACTGAATTCCAGGGAGAAAGCCCCTAAAGAAAACACATTTGGAGTGTTCACTCTAATCTAATCAGACGGAAGGTGGCATCTGATGCAATTTTGTGCAATAAAGCGTATCTTACACAATATATTAGAAAATGGTCTGTTGCCTCAGGGTTTCCAGAAAACCGACAATTAGGGGAAGCAGCCAGGCTGGCTTAATGTAATTAAAAATAAAATAAGGAGTTGGAAACGACAGCCTAGTGATGGCGACTTGAAATGCATGCGTGTGAGATATTTTAGTATTCCGACAATGATTATTGTGTGGAAATTTCGAATTGTTCATTATGCACGGCAAAGAAAATTCTTTTAACACAATTTTTCTCCTAAAGTTTGCCCCTTTCATGAATTTTTATGCTGTTAGTATGTGAATAACAGGGAAATTTAACGATGACTTAGCAAACGCATCTGTTATTTCAATAAGAGAGAAATCCTAAGCCCTGGTACCCAAGCCTATTTAACCAAAAGTATATACGGTTGAACTAATATTTTGAAAGTACTCAGCACTTGGAAGTTCTTATTTGCAGTGAAACGAGAACACACCGACAGCGACTCAGTTAAACTTACGGCTGAACTAGTTGATGCTGTTAATGGGCTGAATTATTGCAAGAAACTCTGCTACAAAAATGGATACAGAATGCGGAAGGCATAGAGAAAATTACCAATCTAGATTAGGAGCGAAGATACTAATTCCACATTTTTTCTTCATTCTGCGAAGCATCCGTCACAACGACTGTCTTTATTGTTCAATGAACCAAAAAATCCCTCAGATCCCTCTTGATAGTTGGCTTGTTCTTTGCCTAACACTTGTTTTTTCCACCATACTCTCCACATTTTTCTTTGTCACAAACATAATTTTCCCTTACTGTTGCTGCCACGAGCTGCAAGTTTTTAAGCCCAACCGTGAGCCACAGACAGCCATACTTCACTATCATGTTCGCGCAGAAGCCTTCGGTCATCGGTGACAAGCCAACGCACTGTCTGCGGACACCCATGCCTGTTCGACAGTGGTGCCAAAGAAGCCGCCTGCTGGTTCACTTCGGCGACGTAACAGATAGTTTTTTTTTTAATTTCGAAAGTCTGGCCCGGAGCATAATAATTTTGGATTCGAAAATACACATACAATTTTCTTCATTTATAAAGTCTAGCAGACAACGGTGGCGTGGTGCACGCAGTCAGCGGTCAACGTCGGGTGGTATGCCAGGCCCGAGACCTGTTGCACGGAGGATACGGCGACGACTTAGTTGTAGGTCAGTGCAGGTCCACAGTAAGTGTGAGTCAGTTACATGTTGGATCGGGGCGTCACAAAGTGGGCATGATGTGCCATACTGGTCTTGGTACTTTTGCGCCCAAACGGTGGTCACAGATGGGGTATAAGCGCAACCACAACAGGAAGCCTCCGCAACGTAACCTCCTCTCGGCGAGTCTGATTCACACGTCCTTGAGTGTCCTCAGCAAAAATGCGGTAGCGGGTGTGGTGTAACTTGAGGGCGCGTTGTTTATGAAGCTCTTATTCCGGTATTGCTTTGAGACATACCGCTTTCAAAGATCGAAGGCTGTTACACGAAGACGACGAGATAGACAACTGCAGGAAACACAAGGACGGTCGTTCATTCACTAAAGGGTGTGGCTGGCTTTGACAGATCTATGGCAATGTGGCGGCTCGGGGAAGAAAATAACCTTCCTGTTTTCAGCGTGAAAACGTAGTGTACAATGGGAACAGTTGTCCGCCAAAGAGTCGACACGACATCCAGCTTGGTGTATTCCTGTCAGAAGCAAATAGAGCGCCCTCCTTTTGTTGGTATTGGATTGCGCGTTTGATAAAGTTTTGAAGAGTCTTATTTTTACTCAACATGCCCAATTCGTACGCAATTTATGTGGTCTCACACTGTAAATCACTGCAATCTTTTTTCACTTGATGGGGGCTCAAAGTTTTCGTCGTTCTTTTAAATGCGGAAATAAGACTTCGTGGTAGCACTCCTTAGGGGAGACAGCCAGCTGCGACTGCTGGTTGTAATTTCTATTACCGTGCAAGTATTTCGCACAACATTTACGGGCTGAAATAACCGAAGGTATACGCAGTACCAGCGAAATACGCGACACTGAAAGAAGTTCTCAAAACACTTCTGAAAATATCTTGGTTGCGGCAGGTATATTCAGAGCATTCAAAAATCGGACAGTGCTTCATTTATAATAAAGGGATAAATAATTGAAATGTGTGAAGCCGTGCTAAGAATTTCGGGCCTGGGTCGTCGTGTACGGGCCATATATAATTAACACGGCGCCGGGCTGGGACGGGCCGGAGCATGGGGCTTGCGCGCGCGCGCGCACACACACACACACACACACACACACACACACACACACACACACACACACACACACACACACACACACACACACACATATATATATATATATATATATATATATATATATAAAGAGAAAGAAGTGTTTACCTAAGGGCTCGTTTTTCCGTGTTTTGACACAATATTCATGAGATCTAACAGACAGTTATGCCAAGGAATGTATAGGGGAAGTTATTAGAACAAATTGTTTTAATAACTTCCCCTATACATTCCTTGGCATTACTGTCTGTTAGATCTCATTATATATATATATATATATATATATATATATATATATATATATATATATATATTTATATACTCTTTTTCTTGAAGGGGCTAGAGCAAGCAGTAAATACTTATTTGCTCAGTCGTGCAACGCCATTTATATTGTGGGATAAGGCAGGGCACAAGGCAGCCCCGCCGCGGTGGTCTAGTGGCTAAGGTACTCGGCTGCTGACCCGCAGGGCGTGGGTTCAAATCCCGGCTGCGGCGCCTGCATTTCCGATGGAGGCGGAAATGTCGTAGGCCCGTGTGCTCAGATTTGGGTGCACGTTAAAGAACCCCAGGTGGTCAAAATTTCCGGAGCCCTCCACTACGGCGTCTCTCATAATCATATGGTGGTTTTGGGACGTTAAACCCCACAAATCAACAATCAATCAATCAGGGCACAAGGCAAACACGTTAAAACAAAGAAATAAAAAAAAACTTGGAGCACAGTACACGACTGTGACTGAAGATCAGCACTCCGTAATTGGTTCAAACTGTACTCGTCACTCCGTAATTACGCTTCAATCAATCAATCAATCAATCAATCAATCAAAGCTTTGAGTTTCTTTTCTTTTTTGAAAAGAGAAAAAGAGATGGCATTGCAAACCGCAATTACAGCGTTACAGAGGACCCTGCCCCCTTTATTTTTGGCATGACACAGCATGTGAGTGAATACATAGTGTATACACAGTACACAACACTTGGTCAAGAATACTGTTTTGGCATATACAATGAAAAATACACAGCAATAAAGAAGAAAATAATTACACAATCTTCTTTAACAGAACTAAAAATGGTGCTGCGAAGATAACAAGAACAAACTAAAGAATGAAAACAAGCTTTTTTTTAACGGAACAAGCACTAGAGAGAAATATGTTTCGACTGCATAATAGACAATTCACTATAACACATTTAATACATATAAGATGCCTAAGCACTTCAACTTGTCATAGATAAGAAAGAACCCATTCACTTTCTTGGGTATGAAAAACAGGTATTAACAATGTAAAGCTTGGCTTCATACATTAATGCTGCAGTGAAGGGTGTATATACTACCACTGTACGTTGCAGTGAACGTGCTTCATTGAATGGCAATGAACTTAAAGGAATTACGGCAGAGCTCCGCCGCGTGCACTTGTACACGCAATGCCCACCGCCTATTCACATTAACACGGCCATAATGCTACCATCTATAGTCATATCTCGCGGCGATTAGGATGTATTGAATTTCTCAAACATACTGGCCACCCGGGAAGAGGGTTTTTGAGGCAGAAGTATACTAAACTTACCTAAACTACCGAGGTCCACGTTAAGCACAGTGTACGAGTAGCAAAGTGGTGTTTGTGCACCCTAAAACTGTTCATACACACAACCGATCACACACCACCAATCACAAGTATAGCAATCTACGCAGTGACAGTCACAAATGTTGCGTGTCGGATGGTCAGCAATCATAATTTTCGTAGAATTTTAACAAACACGAGTACGTAATACAACTTTTGGATCACAGCAATTATAACGTTAAATCTACAAGAACGTAATATTACGATTTACGAAAACGCCTGTTGCGTATTACTGTAAACGCAACGCGGCTAATTTGACTATACAGCCCTTCATGTCCTTGGACTATGGGGCTAAATAACGTAGCAGGCTTAAAGCCACCGGAATAAATAATTGACCTGCGCGTCCGTGCGCCAATAATTTTGCGTTCAGTCGAGCCCACACTTGCGTCCCCGCCTTTGCCCACTGTTGCTAGGAGTTGTCGTTGATATCACGCGTGTTGAGACGAGACCGCTGCCTGAGGATCTCGAGCATCTTTTGGCGCTTTTCTTCCATCAGGTTGTCGGGGTGCTGGTGGATATAGTCTCGTATGTTGGGTAGACCGGAGATGACGCAGGCGGCGAGCGCCGACCGGGCCCCGGTCATATCCGTTGCCTCGTACCACTGGTCGGTGACATGGTCGTAGCACTCGGCCAGGTTGATTGTGCTTCGACCGTTGAAGCCGCCAATGGCAAAGACCAGGTTGTCGATGACCTGTTATACGAACAGAGTTCAGATGCGTTAAGTGCACTCGTGAATGTTTTTGGGAGCGGCTTCACAGGTCTGGAGCGCAGAAAAAAGAGAAAATGAAAATATTGGTGAATGTTGTCAAGTTTTCGTACTGCCACGTGCACGAGCTATTTTTGCCACCTGTACATGTTGGCCTTAGCCATACACATGTACTCATTTCCATGCATGAAGCTTTCGGTTGATAACAAGCGCCAGCATTCCATGCTGTCCCTTTTGTTTCCGTGCTTTCATACGTTATTTTTAGGTTACTGTTTCATATGTACCATGCTTTCACTATATTATTTGAAGAATACGGTTGGCTCCGTATTTGGCACGTGGACTAGGCGCGTTAAGCAATGTTTTTGTGTGCAGGATTACGTTTCAGAGCACGGATTGCAATTGAAGCGTTACGGTCAGTGAGGCCATCAGAGGTCGCGAGTGCTGCGGCCGTGCACTATATAGCGATAGCCGTCGAGAAGTATGGACTGCGGCAACAAATGCTTCAAAAAAAAAAAATAGCGGCTACGACATCGTCATAGCTTATTTTACTTACTGCAGCATGGTGACGAGAGAAAAGTAAGGGGGTAAACTGCACTAAAGTTTAATTTGGGCCGGTTGGAACATGATCAACTAAGCGGAAAACAGCGCGAAAACGCAAGGCAGTGAAAGAGAACGACGAAGCACTGTCTTACAACCAAGGTTTCATTCCATGCCTAGAAGTATATATATATATATATATATATATATATATATGGGAAAGAAGTGTACACCTAAGGGCTCGTTTTTTGTGTTTTAATACAATAATATTGAGATCTAACAGACATTAATGCCAAGGATTGTATAGGGGAAGTTATTGGAACAAATGGAATGTAAAATAAGAAGAAAAGTGGGCGAAAAACTAACCAGCCGTGAGCAAGAAACGAACCTACCACCTTCGAATAACGCGTTCGATGCTCTAACCACTGAGCTATCACAGCGGCCTTCCCTCAATCCACTTTTTTGGGTTCATCTGTGAATATAGAAGTAGGAGTGTCAGTCAGCGCCATCTATAAGCCAAGTGACGAGTGCGAAACACCCTATTATGCGCATGTTTGGCGTCACATAGCGCGTGAACTTATTACGAGCGGGCAGCTGACCAATAGTCCCTCGTTTACAACCTAATGACACCAAGTCTACCAGTACGAGACCCTCGTTAATGAATAAGGGAAACAAGTGTACACCTAAGGGCTCGTTTTTCCGTGTTTTGACACAATAATAATGAGATCTAACAGACAGTAGTGCCAAGGAATGTATAGGGGGAAGTTATTAGAAATAACCAGCCGTGAGCAGGATATATATCTATATATATTTATATATATATATATATATATATATATATATATATATATATATATATATATATATATATATATATATATATATATATATATATATATTGTGGGCATTTGTAACTTACATCGTCCTCATCCCTGCATAATTACAATCACCATCATCCGCTTGTCTCTTTGCCCTCATTGCCACTCTGGTTCATCATCATCGTCATCGTCTGTGTGCTGGCTCTGCCCGTTCGTTTTGCGAGGTCTTTCCTCAAATAAACGCTGTCGCAGCCAAGACTACCAAGACTTCATACGTGGTGGAGGTGGATTTTCGGTCCTCTGACCTCCCGCAGCCCGTTATACCCCCTGGAGCTTCGTTCAGGCCGCCGCTTGCTCCCACAGTCAGGCAGCATGTCCCAGACCGAGCCTGCCGGCACTGATGTCATCAACCACGCACCGCCGCAAGCTGCCCCTCCTACTTACATACACGGACATCAGCGGGAACCCCCGCTCTTCGCTGGTAGTCGTGGAGAAGACGTAGAAGACTGGATCGATGACTACGACCGCGTAAGTGTCGCTAATCGGTGGGACGAGGCCGCCAAACTGCGTTACGTCCCATTTTATCTGACTGGAGTCGCAAAGACATGGTATTTTAACCACGTCATTGACTTACCCGACTGGGCTACCTTCCAGCAGCAGCTGCGGCACGTCTTTGGGACACCAGACATTCGATCCGCCGTCGCGAAGAGGACACTCGATACTCGCCGACAACATCGCGGTGAATCGTATACTTCATACATCGAGGATGTCCTCGCACTCTGCCGGCGTGTCAATAAATCCATGCCGGAATCGGACAAAGTGCGCCACATATTGAAAGGCATTGGGCCTGTTGCCTTTAATGCCCTCGCTGTGCAAAACCCAGCTACCATCGCTGATGTCGTTGCGACATGCCAGCGCCTTGATGCGCTGGACTCCGTCCGCCTTCAACCAGACATCGGCGACCACCACTCCACGTCAGATGGCCATCTGCGTGACCTCATCCGGGACATTATACGTGAAGAATTGCGGTCCATGGGCTTCACACCTCCTACACCGCGACCTACTCAGCCTTCGGGAATGCCCTTACGTGACATCATAAGGGAGGAACTTACATCCCTGACTGGCTCTGCACCCGTACAGCCACCTGCTTCTCACCCTTTAGCCACGTACCCTCAAGTTGCTGCCGTGCCTCCCAGCGACGCCCACGCGACATTGCCACGTCCATCCTACGCGTCAGTTGCTGCCGCTACCCCTGTGAACTACCATTCCGTGCCCCCTGACCCTTCGGCCCACCTGACCGCGCTATCTCCAAGTGCCCCGAATGCCTTCTATTCTCCACCGTGGCGCTCGTCTCGCCCTGTATGCTTCTACTGTGGCTATCGCGGCCACATATCCCGTTTCTGCCGGAAGCGCCAGCAAGATGAGCGTCGGAACGATGTGCGTGAACGGGATTTGTACAACGGGGCGTCTTATCAAGGTCGGCGTTATTCGTCTCCCCCGCACCGGTCTCCATCTCCTCCTGCATCGACTGCACCACGAAACAGCTGAAACACGAGATGCCGCTCGCCTTCGCCCTTCCGCCGTTCCACTTCTCCACTTCGGCCCGCCTCATTCGCCTCTGATATTCGTTCGGAAAACTAAGTGATGCAGTTTGTGGAGGAAAAACTGCATTCGGAATTAGAACTGAAATTCCTCCATTAGGCCCGTGTAACATGGTTTCCGTGGAAGTGAAAGGAGTGCGAGTCGATGCTTTGGTGGACACAGGTGCGACATTGTCTGTGATACGTGCTGATTTGTGTGAACATTTAAGGAAAGTAATGACGCCTTACGATGGTCCCACGTTAGTTGCTGCCCAGGGGAACATCATTCGCCCTTCCGCGCTTTGTACTGTGCGTGTTTTCATCGACGGCATCCGCCATCATGTCCAGTTTGCTGTCCTGTCCCGCTGCTCTCACCAACTAATTTTAGGGTGGGATTTTCTATCATCTGCTTCCGCGGCGATTTGTTGTGGACAACGCGTCGTTCACCTCGCTGACACCGACTACATGCTTGACGACGATAATCAGAAGCCACTTCGTCTGGTCGCTGCGAAAGACATCGAACTCCCGCCACTACAAGAGCAAATTGTCACCATTACGTCCAACGGCATCTATCACGGGGATGTATTGGTCTCACCGTCACCACTTTGCGTTCGCAAAGGTATAGTTCTTCCGTCCGGTGTCGTTCGTTTTTGCAATGGCTCGGCACTTGTCACCGCTGTCAACTCTACACCGGAGAAGATCTTACTGCCACAGGGCACTACTGTGGCCCGTGTTGCTGACTTCGAGCCTGTACTCGTCACGCCACTTCAGGCCATCGCATCCAAAGACCCTTCCCTCGGTGAGCATGTTTCTTCCTCCGCCTTTACCACCACTATCAGCAGCGAATTGACATATTCACAGAGGCAGCAGTTGCTCGCATTGTTACAGAAACATGCAAATTCTTTCGATATTTGCTCGTCTAAGCTGGGCCGCACTAATACTACAGCACATCGAATTCAAACTGTTGGGACATCTATTGTACACCGCCGACCCTACCGCGTGTCTCTAACTGAAAGAAAAATTATAGAAGAAAACGTTGCGGACATGCTTAAACGGGAAGTCATCCGTCCCTCATCTAGCCCTTGGTCGTCTCCTATTGTTTTGGTCCATAAAAAGGATGGCTCTGTGCGGTTTTGCGTGGACTACCGGGCGCTCAATAAGATCACACGCAAGGACGTGTACCCTATGCCACGCATTGACGACGCCCTTGATTCCCTACAAGGCGCGGAATTCTTTTCAAGCATCGACTTGCGTTCTGGGTACTGGCAGATCCCCATGCATGAAGACGATAAAGAGAAAACGGCATTCGCAACCCCCGACGGGCTATATGAATTCAACGTGATGCCTTTCGGGCTCTGCAACGCACCCGCGACTTTTGAGCGCATGATAGATACCGTGCTGCGTGGCCTGAAATGGAAAAGTTGCCTTTGCTACCTGGACGACATTATTATCTTTTCGTCAACGTTTCCTGAGCACCTAGAACGATTGGATCAAGTTTTGACGTGCCTTGCCGGCGCCGGGCTTCAAATAAACACGAAGAAATGCTCTTTCGCTAGCAAATCTATCAAGGTCTTAGGACACGTCGTTAGCAAAGATGGCATCCGGCCCGACCCTGACAAGATTTCTGCAGTCCTTCACTTTCCGCGCCCCGAAAAACCAAAGGAGCTTCGCAGTTTTCTTGGCCTTGCCTCCTATTTTCGCCGGTTTATCCAGAACTTCGCTTCTATTGCTGCTCCATTACACCAACTACTTGCTTCCAACGTCCCCTTTCTGTGGTCTCAAGAATGCCAAACAGCATTCGACCTGTTGAAGCGGGCACTCACGTCTGAACCTCTGCTCTGCCACTTTGACGAAGCCGCACCAACTATCCTCCATACCGACGCTAGCGGCCTTGGTATAGGAGCCGTACTTCTACAACGCGACAAGTCTTCCTTAGAGAAAGTTATTGCATATGCCAGTCGCGTACTCACCGCTGCTGAAAAGAACTACACTATAACTGAGCAAGAGTGTTTGGCTGTGGTTTGGTCGGTTCAGAAGTTCCGTCCCTATC